AGCGTCGATTCCTGCAGAATATTACATCGTCTCTTCGCATGTGCTTTTAGTCCTACTATTATTATCGTTCTCGGTATTTAATTAAAATCAATTCTTTGATCAGTTTTGAATATTTAAAAAACAACATCGGTGGATCTTATAATTTAATTGTTTTAATTGTTACCATGGAACGCAAAATTTGTTATTTTGGTAACATTTTTTAAATTGTAGATTTTTCTATTTATTACATAATAATAGTCTGAAAACATTTACAATGATGATGTGAGTATCATTTGAGAATATACCATTCGAATATATTCCGAAATACGTATACAATGTTTCAGATCGTCAGAATAAACACCGACAAACTGAGCTTAGACTCATGCAATCATCAGTAATAGATTTGCGCAATTGAATGCGTTAAAATCAACGATACGTATCGAATTGATTCGATTATCGTCGTGAGCTTTCGTAAAAAGGTTTCATCGGTTACACGCTGTTAACGCGCTCCCGCAAGTGCTCGCGCGAGCCCGCTAATCGTCGCCCGCCGCTTCGCGAATAGCGCCGACTCGATTTACAGCCGGATTACGAGCGCTCTCGGCTGGTTGCTCGGCGGATTCGAAACAGGCGCTTTTGTCTTCGCAATGCGACCGATTGCGATTACGGGGAGCGCGGGTGGTATAGTTTATGCGACGGCGGAGGCAGTTTGTTGCGACCGCGCGCACTTAATCGATGCGTGCGGGATTAATTAGACATTACGAAATTGCAGTGTGTAGCCTCGGGTAATCGTGATGGATGCAATCAGCCGGCACGTATTTATTTCTCACGTGCATTCGTCGGTTCACGAAGTATTTCATTACACGGCTTGTTGCGATCATCTCGATACGATTTGTTGTAAGAAGCTATTCTTCGAAATTTTCTCTCTCTACGTTTTTGTTTTTTTCTTATTGTCACTATTTTTTTGCTAACAATTATTGTTGCACATTTTATTCAATCTAAAAATTATTAAAAATTTTTATCAAGAGTTCCATGAAAAAATGTTCATAATTAATTTGAATTTCGACGAAATTTTGCAAAAGAATTTAAATTATAATTATGATTTTTACTAAATTAAAATATTTTATTTTATTATTCAAATCTGTTGAAATTAATTTGAGATTTTCTACTCCAACCGTGACAGTTTTACGACGAGAAACTTGCAAGCTGTATTAATACTATTTACGTGTAACTCGTAGGTGCGATAGTAATTTTCTATGTCACACAAAAGGGATCCACTCTGAGAATTGTTCGTCTTGCTGAAACACGCCGATCTCGGTGTAGCTCGCAGCTGTTGCCAGCGGGAGCTCTACCGGGTACCTATTTGAAGAAGGCATATTCTCTCTTTCATTTAAAGCCGCACTTGGCTCCTACTGTGTCCAAGATATTCGAATGTTGAGCTGTGGTTGTGTCCTCGAGGAACAAAGAACCTTTGCTCGTTACGGCGTGCTTTAATTAATTAAAACCTGACCTTTATGGTAACAAGATACATTTGTTTGCTAGAAAGGATGATGTCACGCGGCTATTAAACATTATAATGACTCTTTTAGAAACTACTATCGTGTGATTTTGTATTATTTTGTCCTCAATTAAATAATATTTGCGTATAATTAATTAAAAATGACTTTTTGTATTATATTTTCATATTAGTTTTTTTGTAAGATTATTTTTCCGCATCACGGTTCCTTTGCGATTACTGAGCAATGTCCTCGAAGGACGAGCGGCAACCTCGACGAATCTTTTCTGCGCGTCGAGAGCGCGGCGGTTTGTAAATGGCAAACACGCTGCGAGAGTCTATCCTCGGCTTCTCGCGAAAACTGTCGGCCGTTGTCGTCGGCGACGTTGCAAGCCGCTGATGACACTCTACGGCACTTGAGAGCGGGGCCGCTGCTGTTGCGGTGCTTAGTTTTCTCGAGGAGGGTCGACCCTTGTCGCCGTGGCGGCCGTCGCGATCGTCGTCGTCGTCGTCGTCGTCGCCGTCGACGACTATGGCGGTGATTACGACGTTCTCTCTTCGGCAATTACAGCTCAAGTGGCACCGTAAGAGACAGGTGGTAAGCTGCATCGGGTCGTTCGCGCGCGCCATCTTTGGCTTCCTTCTCTTTTCATCTTCTTTTTCGTCGTATCTCCCGTAAATTTATGACAGGATATATATTGCGGTATTTATCCCTCGAGATAACCACTCGGCTCCTGATGGCCCGTTTTAAGTCATCGTTCCTCTTAATTAATTATTTTCCAGCTACTAGTGTTGTATCGAGAAAATTTACCGCGCCGCGATCAATCCGGCATCTGCTCGCTCATGCGAATATTCTATCATGTATCATTGTTGTATAGTACTTTCTAACTTTCCTATTAATCCGTCTAATAACAAGACGACTTAATGAAATTACCCGAGAGCAGCTTTATGAGCGTATTTTTAATTCGAAATAAATAATTGTTATTGTTACTTTGAACGTCGAATGCGGCAGAAATTTTTTTACCATATATATTCGCAAATGTTTGTAATTTTCCATATTTCCATCGTTTCGATTACACGATGAGAGAGCTGGCAGCTGTGCGGAAGTGAGCAGTCGATAAACGCGCGTGGTACTCTACGGTATCGGAGATTAGCACTATATTAAACCGCGATATCGTCGGTAGGGCCACTTTGTAGCGCGATCAATAAAACGACGCTCTACAGGGAATCTCGCGGAGAGACACTTTCAACGGCGACACGTTATCGCACGACCGGTCTGGGTCTGGTAGATCGCGGCGACGGCGAGGAAACTCGATGCGAGATCTTCGTCGTCAAGGGCTGCGGATAATCGACTTAACGACGAGGCCTTAACGACTTCGCGGTAACGGTTTCGCCGGTCTCTCGCTGTCGTCGGGCATTACGATCCGCGGGAATTCTAAACTTGAGCCCCGTCCGCAGGGCTCGCGTCGTTGTCGCCGCTGGCCGAACGATCAAGACGACGGTCGGGGGCTCTATAGTGCACGGGCGACACCTCCATACGTGTCATGGGGGGGAATCGATCCGATCCGGTTGTAAGCCGACCTAACCATAAGTCCGCCGCGGATCGTGCTCGTCGAACAAGAGTGTCCGGCTCTCTGCATGCGGGAAAGCCGAATAAAATGCGACGCCTTGATCCGCGGTGCTTAAAGACTCGATCCTGTTGACACCTCGCCTCGCGACGATATTCCAGCGCTTCAATTCCTTGAAGCTCTGAGGTTGTTGGTCTCGTCGCCGAGAATAGTGATATGGTAATCTTTCGAGGCTTAGCGACAGATTCATGGACCATTGTATCCGAGTGCTTGGAATTATTTGTTATTCTATAAATCGAGTCGTTTAATTTTATTTTTTGCAAAAAATGATGTTGCCAGACACACATGGTTCTAACAGTTTCGCATAAAGAAAAATTTTGTATTTAATTCTGTTTTAATTAAATCTATTTTTTTTTTCAAAGCTTAGTATAAAAAGATATGAAATACAATACTCCATTATTCTTTTCTCTATCTATTGACTCGCGAATAGCTTTACAAAGATGCGCAGGTGTTGCTCGCTCAACGTCTTCGATACAGTGCTCGCCGGACCGGCTGGCGTGATATGCGAGAATTCTTCATGAAGCCAGGAAAGATGGCGATCGGTGCTCCGACTCGGAGCTGCTGACTCGTCCTGACTGAAATAGGACTCGCTCGCGCGTGCACGATGAGCCGCGCGGAAGCGGGCGTGATTCGCGGATTCCCCGTTTCGTTGCTCTTACGAAATCGGCTCCGTTTTAATTACAGCGCTTATCAGGCCTGTCGGGCTTGTCGGACGCGCGGTTTTAATGGGCACCTGACGCGAGAGATATCCGGGTTCAACGGCGGGGCGGTGGGCGATACTTTTTCTCTCCATATACGCGCAGCGCAAATAATTAAGGTTTTGCCAATCGTGATTATCGGTTGTCACGCGATACACTTCGGAAAGAATCGTGCGTGGAATTCCCGGGAAGAAAGCTGTCGCGCTTTCGCTGCTTCGTCTGAACGGTTACATCGTAACTGTCATTATATCCGTCTTTGGTCGGTTTAACTTATTGCGACACCTCGCGTAGGCGATCCCGTATTCACGCATTGCAACATTGTATCGTCGTTATCGTATTATCTATTTATATGCTTCGCGCTGCAAACTATCTAGGCTTCTCGTGCTAGGAATTTCTCGAACGATGGTAATTTGATGAGCGTGTCATCATTGGTCAGCACTGTTTTTTGAACAAGATCGTACCGGTTTGTAACGGTTTGCTTAATTTCCCGTGACGTGCCTACGCGACAATAAACTTAGTGTTTAATTCTGAACTGCTGTTGATAGTACATCGCGAGATTTCTCGAGCTACGATAAGATAAACGAAGAAAAAACAGTTTGTTGTCAGCTTACTATTAGATATTATATTGTCGCATACAAAGGTACAAGCAAAATAAGATAATAATTCTATTTAATATATTTTATTTGTATGTAATATTATATTAATGTGATTAATAATATTCCAATTAATGATAAAATGACGCGGATGATCTGCTTTTTGTATAATAATAATTATTTTTTGTACATTTGTTTCAATTAAGAAAGATATAAGACAGTTATATTACAACGCTATAATTATTCACTACATATAGCTCCATAATAATGTAATTACATATAATTTTATATGATTGCGTGTAACATCGTTGTAACGCATCCACTAATACAGTTATTTAATTTCTCACTCATCAATGGCTTCGAAGCTTAATCAATCATCAGTATATTATGAATTATATTTTGTATTTGTCAGAATAAAATTATTTGCGTGTCTTTTACAATACCATTTTCAATATCATTCTGATTTTGATGCATCAGTGGCTGTTTTATTCGAAATATTTTATTTTTTATTTATTTTTAATTTAAAATGCACTTATTATTTGTTATTCTTACTTTGATATAATTTTACATACATTTTTCAATTGTTTCTAACCAAATTCTTTTTTTTCAGGGATTGTGACAACCTGGCGGACAGTTCGGAGCGAGACTCCCCTTGGAGTTGTGGGGGTGGTAGCGGTGGTGGCCGCAGACCCCTCACCTCCATTATCGAACACCTACGCACCTCCAAAAGCAGACTTCACAATGGTGAGTTGCAACATCGAGCATGTTTATCATTGCCTCCCGACGCGTATCATTTCTTGCCGCGTATTGCGTTAGGCAGGGAGTTGAATGAAAAGTTTTCTCTCTCGTCCCTTTCGTGCGCCTCGTTTGTCTCGGCGAGGTGACTGAGAGCGTTTCGCCACGCGGCGAAACGCGACAAAACTGGTTTTATTTATTGAAAGCACGGAATCCTTTTCTCTAGAGAATGCTACGATCGCGTGTCGACGTGCATTTACGTACACAGAGATGTGCGTGAGTTGACTAATTGATCAGGCTTTAATATTCTGCGAAAAATACCCCATAAAGTTAATTATTTTAAATTACTACTCTGACTTCCGATATTTTATGCTTGCCGTAATGATCTTATCTCTGCGGAAAAATTTGTCGGCGCATCCGTCGTTAAATTCAACGATGATGTTATCAGGTCGCTTGTAAAATAATATCTTCAGCAATATCGTAGATTGTGCTGCATTTGCAGGTACACATTTAGTTTGTTCAAATTATCAAAAACAAAATACGCAATGTTACACTTATAAGGCGATGAATTGTTGCAATAATTAGTCGCTATGTTTCTGACAATATTTGTGCGAGTGCATAGAGAGATAAGAAAGTCGCTCATCGAACTGGAAACAAATCCGCGACGCAATTTGCATGGGGAATCATTACGATACTCGCGACGATGGCGCGCAAGAATCCCGATACGCTTAATCCGTGCACGACGGGGACGCACGATGGCGCAGATACGGACGCTATTAGGAGTAATGAGCACGCCTATGCTATAAACACGATGATAATGATCGGCCGCGCGCTCTCGTAGCGACAATAAATAATCGGCGAAATATCGGCTAACAAAACGCATACGATTCCACTCCCTTGAACGGCGGTGCGTCGCTCGGCAGCGAGCGTGAACGGACCCCGGCGACTCTCCTTCGTGATGTCTTCATCCCGGGTAATTAGAGGCACGGATGCGCATAAGCGGGACGTACATACCGGAGCGCGCTTATGTGTGTGCGCCGATTCTCTCGAGTGAAACAAGTGTCTCCCGACGGCGGCCTTTTCCACATCGCGACGTTCGTCGGTATCCCGGGTGGAAGCACGCGATGGGATGGGCGAGGAAAGTCAGGGACGGGAAGGGAATAAAGTTGCATCTAGGATGTTGCGGTTGCATTGATGGTCAGACAGAGGAACCGGCGGACGACTATGCAAGTCGAGAGTTTATTGCGACCTTGAAAGGAGGATTTCAAGCGGGAGAGATAAAATGCAATTATAGACGAACGTACCAATGCACCGATGGTAATGACAGTAATAATAGTATCGCCGGCGACGGTTATGTTAAAAGTAATAACGATGATATCGTCGGTCCGCTAATAATCGAGGTAGAGGCGGCAGCGCTCGTGAAATGTCACCGCCGGGAGAGGGATATATTTTTGCGATAACGCAACGTTACGTTGTTTACGAGAAAAAAATAGTTCGCTAGTGCCTCTTTTAGAGTTTCGAAATAAAAGGTAAACATGCCATTGTAATAAAACACACACGATAGAATGCCGCGTAAAATCCTAGAAGTGGTGAGAGGTTACGAGTTTTACGTCGTAAACCGAGAGAGATAAAATATAACAAGTGACGATATTGTTGCTAATTATAGATAAGGAGTGGTAGTGGCAAAATGTCATGATCGGAAAGCGAAAGGAAGATGTGATATCTTAAAAAATATGTAAACATGTCTATTTTTATAAACTGGCGAATACACAATTTTATCATTCAATTATATTTAATATATTATAGTAGAACATAATATCGATAATGTGATAATGTTATTAACTATTTTTAAAATAGTAAAAATAATTTCCTGGTTCAGAAATTGACGAGGCAAGTAACAGGGAAGACATGATCCGTAATAAAAGGAATAGGACAAGGGGTCGGGAGAGCTTGATGGGCAGACACACGGGCGGGCGGGGTGAAATCTCGACGTCAATCGCGATTACGGGATGAGTTTTCAACGCGCGTCTCATTAGCCCACGCCCTCATTATTACGTTATCAACGTCCCCGGGTTCGTATAATGGGTCTTGAATATATTTATGAGGGTAATCCCCGCGGCCGTGCGCGTTCGAGAGCCGCCGAGCGGCTCTCTCCCCGACCTCTATAACAATAATCCCCGTATCCCCTATATAATTGTGCCCGCGGAGGATTTATAGAGCTGGTCCGAGGCCCCGATCCTATCTAACGATCTGCCCATTGAGTAGGCAGCCTAGAAGCGCACGCGGGGAGATACGCCGCGCCGCCTCGGCAATGGGATTCATTCAGGAGAGCACCGGGACCTCCTCTCGGTGCGCCGCGATAATTCCGCGCACGAACGCCGGCTTTTTGACTCTCGTGCGGTGCAGAGAGCGAAGGCCCCGCAATCTGAGATCACGATCTCCGTGGAGGAGAAAATACTAGGCTTATTAAACTCCGCGCAATATCGACACGCAGCGCCAGATGCGGACGATTGAAAGATTAAAGCATAACAATGACCTAACCCAATTTTTTTTTTTCAATTCTGCGAGATTTCATCTGGAAACGAAAGTTGAATTCAGATCAGTTTTCTTGAGGAGAAAATAGATGAATCCTTCAAAATCTCGAAGAAGCGAATCGAAACGATCTGCTGTACTGGTTTTAAAATGCACATGAGCAATTGACTTACATTTTTTTCTCGAGGACATGATCGAAACGACAATTGGAGTTTACGAGCGAGTCACTTGTTGTGCAATAGAAACGAGCGCAGCTCAGGGACAAATGCGAAGGAAATCGTCTCGCGCCCGCGTAGGAATCTTTTTGTTCTTTTTCCTCGTCAACGGGATACCGGGAATTCGCGGTTGAATCGTGTCGATTAGCTATTCCAGAATAATCGCCAAGCCACGCATCATCGGTGATGTGTCATTATGTTACGCCTGTTTCACATTGGATGACATCACGCCGCTCTGCTCTAGGCAATACCGTTCTCTCTCTCTCTCTCTCTCTCTCTCTCTCTCTCTCTCTCTCTCTCTCTCTCTCTCTTCCTATTTTTGCCGCAACCTGACATTTTATTCCTCCTAATAAGAAACTGACAATGATCCACTAAAAATTTACTCGTCATTATTGATGATTTCAATCCGATCGAAATGTCTGCTTGACTGATTCCAGCACACAGGCGTTCACGTTTCGCTTCAAAGTTTTGCTTAAAGTTTTTTCGCTCTCGCTCGCACAACAATGTACTCTATTTTATAGTTTAGCATCGTTCCGTAAATCATTTGCAGACGACAGACGCTGTTGTTCAAAATCCTTCCTTCACCTGTCAAAGTAGATAAGTGCGTGCATTGCTTCTCGAGCGACGTAAATCACTCGCCTCCAGTCGGTCTGCTGATTTACATATTAATCTTCATGCCGACGAAATTAATATGCAAATGACTATAGTCGCTACTATTTCAATGAGTCGCCGGTCGGCATGCATGGGCGAGAAAGAGCCCATTGTGAGTCGTGTCGTGAATTATCTCTATCTGCTTGTCTATTACATTATCCTGCGACATCGCTTGTAATACGCGATCCCGATAAACTCGCGTGAATTTATCGGTTTTTCGACAGCGTTTTCCGCTGTGAGATACCATTGTCTTGTATTATGATAATTGTCAGTCGCAACATGATAACGCGCGCGAGCGTAACGCTATGCGCAAATCCGCGCCGCATTCTTACGCGGCGCGCTCGAGAGCGGCGGCTAACAAAGCGTATCACGAGAAATTGCAGTTAATAGTCGAGACTACGTGACTTTCGTTGTTCTTCCATCTGAAACCGGTATTTTTCGGTCGAGAAACCGCGACGATTTCCGCGTTCGGTCTTTTCGATTTCCGATAGATTCCGCTTCGGTATCCTGGAAGCGCCGATTCAACACGGCGGTGAGCGGGTGCAACGCGCTGCGCTATGCGCTTCGCAGGATGTGCAGAGGCATACACAATTTATAATGCAATTAGAGCCTCGGATGGTAGCGCTCGGATTTATGGCAGGTAGAGAATCCGCCGTGGAGAGGCGGAGGGCGACTGGACCGAAGGAAGAAGAGAAGAAGGCGGAGGTGAAAGAGAAGGTAAAAGAAAAGAGAAAGAGGAAGAGAGAGAGAAAGAGAAGGACGGCGCGGTGAACCGTCGGGCCCCGATACGGGGGCTATATTCCTGTGGAATGAGTTATATGCCTCCCGCGGTAGCCGATGCATTATTTATCGCTCGGCTTTTCATTATTTCTTCGTCGTACACTTACGTAGCGGATCCGGACTCGAAACGCGCTCCCCGGCGCGGCAATGGCGTCCGCTCGCTCGTGCTCGTTTCTCCTTGCAAGTGGCGAGAGCCTTTTCTCATTTTTCTACTCATCACCTCTCGATCTTCAGGTAATTAAGCATTCCAATAATCGCAGAAATTTAAAATACTACCTATCTAAAGTTATCAAATGTGTTTCAGATTTTAGATTTTGTACTTCTTTTACTACTTTACTTATTTTGCACAAGTGAAATTATTTTAGCGCAAGTTTGACGGATTAAAATATATAGCAGAATATGTTGGTAGATTTCGCGCGCGTTAAATATTTTTTCTCTCTTCGAAATTCCTACAAGCCTCCTTCCGCCTCTGCGCTAAATGGATTTTTTCGCCTTCCCGCCTCGTAGTCCAGGGACGCCTCTATTATTAAGCGCTATAACTTACATCGGCGTTACGATGCTAATGAGGATTCTTCGCGCGAGCGGCCGCGGTTATTTACAACCACGCATTTTTCCCATTACCGCTGAACGCGGTAACGATTAACGCGCGTTTTAGAGGATCCGCGTCTTCACCTGTCGCTGCTTTTATCCGTGTCCATCTTCATTGATTTTGCACTACGACCGCACATCGATAAATGTCCCGTAAATTTCGCCTACCCGGTCATTTTCTCGCGGATGCATCTTTATACGCCGATACATTAAATCGACGCATTGTTTTTTCTTTCTTTGCAT